CGTGACGTCAAAATGTTGACATTAATTCCCTTTTTAATTAATGATAATGTTTGAATCCAGGATCCATTTCTTTTTTATGACTTGGCTCGGGGTCTTTCATTGACGCGGGAGAAGGATGCACTCCAATGGGACGGGGGGGGGCGATGACGCATCCGCACACCTCCCCTCTCCATCTCCACCCCACCCAACCCCACCTACGTGACAAGTGAAAAAGGCATGCCTTTCCGATTCATGAATAAAAAACCAAGGGGGAGTTAAGTTCATAGGACGCAGGAAAGTTCTCCGCAGACAAATGTTTGGCGCTCTCCATGACCGAGTACACGTAGAAATCCCCGAGAACTGATCTGCGGGCTGCACACTCGGAACAAGCACAAGAACGGAGAGGCGCTTCACTGGGGGAATAGAGGAAGAGGAGAGGAAGGGGGAGAAAGAGAGAGAGATATCTTATCTCACTCTCCAACTTGAGGTTCAGCGGATCGCAACTGGTAAGAGGAGCCATTTTGTGGGCTTTTACGTAGCGTGTGTGTGGAAAAAGTCAGGTGCGGCTGGATTTTTGCTTTTAAAACTAACTAGGTGTGGTTTTAAAGTAGCACTAACCTTAATGCATTCAATAATTGTTCCCATGAGTAGATGATTTTACACTTGTTCATTCACTTTATGTTCTTTCTTTTGCAGCAGGACAATGTCTAGTAAAGCGACTTTAGCCTTACTCATCTATGGAATCATAATGCATTACAGCGTCCACTGCTCACCTGTGGGGCTTAGCTTTCCAAGCGTTAGGTACGTAAACCTCTATTTGTCTTTCAAGTGGCACTTTCCAGATGTTTATTACAATTTCTTGGCTTTGAAATGAGGTAATTGTTGCCCTGAGCAGCAGGGCGCCGGCTAAATAGCTGTTAGTTATGGATGTGGCTATAATAGCCTTTTGGATTACTGGATAACATCATCTGACAGCCGATCCATAATGCGTGGAAACATTCACCAGGGAGCCTCGTTGATGTGATTTAGGCTGCTGAGGAAGTGAAGCAGTGTCTCAATTTGTCCTGAAGCATTAATCGACCAATTTATGGGATGAGATAATGAATATAAAACGATTTTTTGGAGAAGAAAAAAGCTCCTGATTTTAAGAGGAAATGCCTTTTTGAATATAAAAATAGATGTTAATGGAAAGTGTGACATGTCTGGAGGATAATTAAAGAACATATGACATAAAAAAAAGTCTGGGAAAAACACGTTTAACTATGAATGTTCATTAGTGAAGTAGAATTTAATAACATTTCTCTTTTTTGCAGACTTGACAGTGAGGTGTATGATGAGGATGGGAACTCTTTACCGTCCCTGGATTACGACAGAGAGCAGATGGAGGTGAGGAGCCCTCCGTCTGCGGCGGACGACGTCTTCACTTTGTATTTCCCACCAGAGAAAAGGTGACTATTTATCCCCATTTTACACAAAAAGTATTTTTTTTTGTTTCGTCCCAATGTTGGAGACATCCATGTTGAACGTCTCATTACTGTAGTCCTATTTCTGTCCACTTATGTTGTGTTCTATGTGAATCAATGTAACGTATCGTCGAAATGTTGTCAGTAACACAATGATTATTATTTGTTTATCCCTTTGCCAAATTAGGGTTTTAACTAAAATTCCTAATTGGACTAAAAAATTCTTTTTTTGCAGAATTTTTTTTTAAATGAAATATTTTACCCAAATTGCAGGTTCCTCCAAATGTCAATGCAACTTAATCCGGATAAAGAGATAACCTTAAAAAGTTAAATAATATAAACCATACTGATGAGCTCAAGGCCCACTATTCAATTATTATAATAATAGTGTTAAGATTAGATTTTCTTACAGTACAGCTACTTGAAATTGTTGCCTCTCTCGCTGGGTGTGTGGTGATTTTACTGTGTGGCTATCTATCATCCAGAACGGAAAGGCATGCAGACGGCATGTTTAATAAAGCCTACAGGAAAGCGCTGGGTCAGTTATCAGCCAGGAAATATCTGCATTCTCTGATGGCAAAACGTGTAGGGTAAGAACATCTTCTGTCACCTCTTTTTTTTATACTTTTTCCTGTCTTGTGTGCGTTTTTTTGGTTTTCTTTGGATTGCCCCTTTAAATCCACGCTGTTACACGTACTGTATATGTCTGTGGTCCCATTATTTCCCAGCATGTAGCTAAATAATCCTCTGAATCAGACTTAGTAATGCAATAAGAGCTCAAACAGGCTGATTTGGAAAATGTCGTTTTCTGCTGTGTTGTAAAGGCACAAGAATGAACCCGCACAGGTTTACATTTATTTCCATATGACTCATTTATAGGATGGAGTCCCAGTGGTTCCCGATGGAAGAGGGAGGAGGGTGGGGGGGCAATTACTCAAGCCTTATGAGCAGGCCTATCACATCTTATTGCAGGTCGAATATATATTGCCCTGGGACTGTTAAACAAAGTGAGGATATTTCTGATGCTTTGTTGGATGCAAAGATTCAAAATGCAAGCACATACATGATACATCCCTTTGTGTCCTGCAAAATCTGATTATTCCTGTAAAAGAAGGACACAGATTGTTTTTTTGCACATCTCCACAAGCTGACAAAATCAGATTATTTCATTATTTGCCCTCTAAAATGGAGACACACGCTCTTCACCTCGGCTCCACATGCTGCACATTCAGCGTAGGGGTCGTGGGATTATAATCAACGTGATGATAGTGAAACCTCTTGTCTCTCACACAGCGGGGGGAAAACGCTGGACGACAGCTCAGAGCCTCTGTCCAAGCGACACTCAGACGGGATCTTCACAGACAGCTACAGCCGCTACCGGAAGCAAATGGCAGTCAAGAAATACCTGGCAGCAGTCCTGGGGAAAAGGTATAGACAGAGAGTTAGAAACAAAGGACGTCGGTCGGTTTATTTGTAGCATCCTCACCCTCCCCTCCTGAAAAAAACAAAGAAAAAACTTAAGTGTGCAGCCCCACATGAAGTCATTTTGAGATCTGAACAATCAGTGGATCGCTTTTGTGTTCTTAAACATGTATTTATGTATGAAGTAAGCCATTAAAATGAATATTTTGATAATATATTGTTTTCTATTATGTACTTACAGCACTAAGGACACACATTACTACTTTGTGGACCAATTTTTTGTTCATTCTAAAACAAAAAAAAGAATAGCCTCTATTTATGTATTCATTGATTTATTTTTTTTAGACCTATTTTTGAGGGGAGACAATTGTTCCCGTGGCGATGTGCTCCGAACAGCCCCTGTCTTTTAAACGTTTAGTGAAGAGATATATGATTGTGAGGAAAATAAATAGTTTAAAAGACAATCACTGTATTGAATGCTGCTTTTTGTAAAGTGACATTAAGAGTTTAGTTGTCTTTATTCACAACAGCCTTGAAGACATAGGTTTTCACCCAATCCTACAAGACATAGACTTTGATGCCCTCCCGGACGGGGATGAGCTTGAGGCTTTTTTGGGAGACTGGCTGAAACAGTTTTCTCCCGAATTTCCGGTGAGTTTCAGGCTCTTTCCCCGAGGCCGTAATCCTTGCAGGGGCTCCTCATGTCCCTTCCTTTTTCACCTTTAACCACTCAAACATTCTTCCGCCTCATTTGTGCTCCTGTCTCTCTAGAGTCTCACACCCTTAATCATCCCACAATGTGGAGGGACTTTGCTTAGACTGATTGATCAAAAGTTACAGATTTATGGAACAAAGACGATGATTATTTTAGTAGACCTGGGCTAAACCAGATGTGAGCCCTGCTGGCACTTTACACTTTTAAGATATCCCTTTTCTCAATTCAAAATGGGACAATTTCAAATCTGAGATGAGGACCAGAGTACTTTTGAGGTTTTTCTTTCTTCCGCACTATTTACGGAGTGAGATCACACCTTTGACTCATGTACATTGCCAATCCTGTGTTTCTATCAACTGGTTTCTGCTGAAGATTTTCTCTCTGTCCATATAATAAGTATCACTAAATCAGGCACATTTTTAAAAAAAAGAATAAAAAAAAGAAGAAATGATACTTGTTACATGGTCACTCATTCATCGATTTGCTCCTGAGAGACATACGAGGCAGTTTGAACTTTTGTGTTTGAACTTTCTGGGTCTATTTTGCTTCCTTTTCTGTCATGTGAACCAATGTAAAAAAAAAAAAGAAACAGTAGATTGCATGATTAAAGTAATTGCACTAGCCACTGCATCTGTGCAGCCGACTCCAACTAGATGGTTTTGCTTGCTTTCTGACTACTGCAAACATACATACCTGTCATTTCTCGATGTCGTTTTGTGTTCTGTTCTCACAAGGTGTATGTCGAACTTGAATAATTATTTGAATGTACTTACTGCTGGCAAGAATCACTCAGTCAAATGTCATGATTTATCATTCTGTTACTAAACCAACTGATTTTGTTTTAAATTGTAATACACAATTTGAAGTGGTCTTTTTCTGTAGAAGGCCACAAAGGCTGCCATGATTGACACAATTAGATTCAAAGAAAAGGAGAAAGACATCGAGGAAATAAAGAAAGCAACGATCAAGAACATGCTTATTTTGAAAAGTCGAGGGAGAACAGTTTGTAAAATCTGCAGGATAAGACTCACACATTCCCCCCGTCTTTATACTTCTTACCATATTTGTGAGGAAGGGCAGGGTAAAGTTATTAGATTTGTGTTTGCTGTATCAATCTTTCTTTAATTTTGCATTCTCCTCTAGGCTTTGTGACGCAGGAAGCAGTTTGCGGCTGTGGTGCCTTGCATCGACTTTAAAATCGCCATTGAATCACAGATGGCTATTTAGTGGCCCTACAATGCTGCACATCATCAGCTTACATTTCACTCTTTTGTTGTTGTTTTTGTGTTGCACAGACGTTTGATAAATCTTTAGAAGCCTCCAGCTTTAGACAACAAGCGTCCTCGCTTGCACTGCTTTCTTTTGCACTAGACGTAGATTTTTGTGAACATAGAGGGAAGAATCAGTTTCCCGCTCTCCATGAAACGTTATATGTATGATAATGAAAGCGCCAATAGCCTTACAAAAATGAAATAATCTTCAAAGATATATATATATATTTATTGTTTAGAAAGTGAATATTAGATTACTACTTCAAATGGCGATCTGCAAGGGTCAATAAATGTCTAAAAAAATAAAGTGTTGTAAGATTTGTATGAATAAATTTTTGTAAACAACAAAAAATCCGTCTAATCTTTGAAGCCAATATCACCATAAGTCTGTAAGGTTGGACACATTTGGGAGGTTGAAAATGAGTAATAAAACCCAAACGTATTATGTTACAATTATGAACATAGACCCTGCATCAACAGGTCTGACAGGAAGTTTCATAAGAAAGGAAAGATGAACAAAAACCAGCTTGTGGAAGTCACAGACGGGGAAAAAAATCAAAAAGACCTCATACCATTAGACAAAGCACACATACATGCTCACACACACTTAATTCATGCTGAAATACCCAAAATAAAAAAGTGTCAATCACTTTCTGGTCCTCTTCAGTGTGGGTGTTGAATGTTGTGGCTATGTGGATGATCAATAACTACAAGATGTTGCCAAATAAATAAGCAACAATGGAAAAAGTGGTGAAAAGAAGACCAAAAGATCCAAATCTCTGCCCGAATTTCACGGTGACTCAGTGGCTTTTGGCGGAGGAACGGTGCGACCAGTTGGCTGCGCGTGCACCCCCTTTCGGGACAGCATGAGTAAGGAGACGTGGGAAGGATCACCCGGCTCGCTCCACACTCTGCCTCGCTGCACTTTACACCTCTCCGGGACTTCAGCAGTCGCCACCAAAGGCCTGCAGTACTGGTGGAACAGTTGGCCGCTCTCAACACTGGTACATTCACTTTGATGCCAAAAACAACAATGTTCACGCGTGAAGCGAAACGAGCTCAAACATGCAGAGACATTAGGGGAATGGATCCCCATGTAATGCCATATCATTTGCAGCTACTATGGGAAAAGACCTCTCTCCACATCACAACCCATCACAAAATACACATAATGAAGTTTAATTCACTCATGGTTATACAAGAGTTATATCAGATTTCATTTGAAGGTTTTAAGACAAGCTGTGCAGGCTGTGTTGCATTGGATGGACCAATTAGTCAATTTATAGATGACTAGATAGAGAAAAGGTGTTATGATAAATAATCAATTAAGAAGAAAAACATCCTCAATTTTTCTTGAATGAATATAGTTTTTAGTAGTTTAATCCAATGATAAAGTTTAATATCTTTGAATTTGGGTTCACATTTCCGGGATTACGATTTTTACATTTTGTTGACCCTTTGACATAATTGGTAAATACATTGAAAAATATCTCAACATTTAATCGATATTAAGAAATAATCGCTAGATGCAGTCCTAGATGTTCATACATAAAATACAGCAACAGTAGAAGACCGTGACTAGGATGTCCCGATCCGATCACGTGATCGGGGTTTTCAAAAGATCGGAATCGGGAGAAAAAAATCGGGGACCAGGATTTTTTTTTTTTTTAATACTTTTAAAAAATGTTGTATTCAATGTTACAAAACAAAAATGACCATGTTCAAGTCTTAAAGTCATCCTGAGGCCTTAGTTTTGGTTTCAAATTACACAACATCATGTATGTGTTGCTTCTTTGGGGCTTGTTTTCATAGACCTGGTTGATTATTTCTCTCAAATCTGGCAACAGAGTGGGCAGGGCGCAGTGTCTAATTGTAGCAGTAAGCTAACGAGTACTGATAAGCTTTATTTTGTTTTGATCCAATGCTGCTGAACTGAACTGATCCAATGCTGCTGTGAAAAAAAGAAGCTATATCCATGTTGGATAGAATATCCAATTTAAATAAAAAAATAACCTTAAGGGACAACTTGAGTGCTTTTTTTCTTTTTTTTCTCTTAATGCATTGCATAAAGATCGGATCGGGAAAAATCGGTAACGGCAAATTGTCAAAATCAAATGATCGGAATCGGATCGGGAGCAAAAAAAGGTGATCGGGACATCCAGTGACATAACAACTGCACCCTTTGTCTTCTATGTTTGCACCTCAGTACACCGGAGGGCAGGTCTAATGAAGTCTGAGTGTCTTCCTAAAGCAAGAAGAGGCTTCTTGCACATTGTGGCTTTAGCCTTCAAAGGGTTTCCCTTTACAATCCCTGAGGTGCAGGAGAACACCTAATGAGATGCAAATTCAGTTTTGAAAAACAAACAGGTATTTAAAAAAGTGGCAAACATGAGCTCAGAGAAAACAGGTCTGACACAAACTTAGGTTATCTGCTCATAGAGAGCATCAGCCTCAGAACAAACATTAAAGCTTGAATTTATTTTCCACCTTAGGCAGGAGCAGAATGGTAAATACGCACATTAAGGGGAAAATGCTATATAATCGCTGTTATTTAATAATAAAACATGATGTAACCCATCAGTCTCCCTCCTGTTGAGACCCAAGGGGAGTCCCACCGTGGGTGCAGCAGGTGGCATTTGCACTTGTGTCAATCCAAATTACATCCAATTACCTCAAATATACCCCTCCTATCTGATAATAAGTCACCACAGAGCATTGCAGGCGTGTCTGCACCTCCCTGCTCTCAGGACATGCCCTGAAATATCTTTAAAGGGCTTCAATTACATCCTCACTTTGAGTGTGAGCAGTTGCAGCATCACACTGCGTTGTGCGGTCGTCTATATATGGGATGTCAGAATGAGCCATCAAAAAGGTCTGCCGTGTCTCCCCCCCGCTCCCCTGCGTGCGTAATAGCCCCCTCTCAGACGTGATGACAGGTCTTTGATTTTGTGGCCCTGGTCTCAGCTCTCAGAGGAGTGCAGGGAGAACATGATCAATGGGAGTGATCTGATTCCTCCGGCCCATGCCAGACCCTTTCTTAACCCGGATAACACAATCAGCCAGTGTTGCCAGGCAACTGGTCCCAGGAGGATGCGTTAGGAGTTAAGATCACCCTGGATATATTTCACTCAAATTGCTTCAGTCTCAGCTATGTTGTCTTTTACTGGCTAGGCTGATATTTATGCTCAGGAAAACAGAGGTTGAGTAATAGGTAGTGATTCATGAAAGTGCACAGACATAACGAAAGAACACAGACACAAACACTTGAGCCAATGTTTTCACAAAATTACTCACACAGCACAGCGAGAGCCAAGAAATGTGTGACTGACTAAGAAGTGCTAAAGGTAAAAAGTATTCTACGATTATGGAAGAAACATTGATTTGACATATGAGCAAGACATTGAAAGTGGATCAACAAAATGTAATATCAAGACTTTGACAATTGAGATTACGAAATGAAGTTTGGCAAACTGCAGTGCATTATAAGTAACCTAAAGATGTATTCATAACAGACAAACATTTGAAAATGAAATGCCAGAAATTCACTCTTAATAGTTGCGGTTCTGGCTCGGTATCAAAGCACAACCAAACGTTTTTAAAATGGCGGCAGAGGAAGCCACAGTAGTTGCGACACTAAAATCGCTGTATGGTTCCATCCGGTTACAATTGTCAACAAACGCCCTATAGCAAGATTTTGATGGCCAAAGAAGTCAAAGTATCCAGTGTTTACAAGAAAAAGCTACAACAATATTAGTCTGCAGCCATGCTAGCAGCTCTGTGTGGCTGTACATTGCCACATGTGCTTTAAGCTAAATGCTAACATCAGCATGCTAACGTCAGCATGCTAACGTGCTTACAAGTAGCATTGCTAACATTCTGATGTTTAGCAGCTTTAAGTTTACCATGAACTATCTTAGTTTAGCCTAAATAAGCAAAGATAAAATAAATTATACTAAGAAGATGATATAAAGTGTATGGTGTCATTTTTCACACTGTTTCTATTTAAGTCAAATCTTACTTTGATGTTGTCGAACAGCCTGAAATACTCAGACTGTCTTTCTTACACGATCGACTCGTACTCAACTCCACAATCCAAACCCGGAGCTTCAACCCAGGATCCCCCTCCTCCTCTGGGGGGCCGTGTGAGTGACAGCTTTCTGGAGGGGGAATCCACATGAAACCCTTTCATCAGTGCCGCCTCCTGGGCCCAGCTTGACTGACTGCAGCATGGTGCAAAAGTTCAGCCATTATGAAAAGCTTTTGCTGTGGTGAAGTGTGTCATTGTTTTAATGTCAGACCTCTAGCTAAGGATCATTTTTCATGTGAGTGGACAGAATCTGACTTTCGGTCCTTCATCCTCAACACGTCGAGGGTCTTTTTGTCTTCATGTGTGTAAACAGGATCTGAGGTATTGGGTTTGAGGTTTCAAGAAATGTATGTTTGTATTGGGATTGTAGAATTCATACTCATAAGAGAACAATTAGAACAATCCTACTCATGTTAAGGTGAGACATTATTTGCTAAATTAATCATAATTTGCATGATTGCTAAACATGTCTCAACAATTGATTCTTAGCAACTCAATAAAGTATGACTATTAAACTTTAGAAAGTACACCATTACTCCCTCTTCCACCAAATGAATAGCAACAAACCATAAACTTACTGTCACGGTGAGAAAAGGAAGGCAGGACCCAAATGCAAGACAAAACAGGGGAGGCAGGTATTGGAGTACAACAAAAGGCGAGCTTTAATTCATAAAAAGCTGAAGACTAGGGAGCTGAGACACAGGGGCAGCAGGTGAAACCAATAAGACAATCAAGCACATGAGGCAAAACCATGGGCAAAACACAGGAAGGAAGACAAGTCAAGACACAAGGAGAAAGGAATTTCTAAATACAACAGGAAACTTTAATCACATAATACTGAAATGATGAAACTTACTTAGAATTTTTGAGAAACATTTG